TAGACAAAGTAAGAAAATTCAGAAAATAAAAGGCAGTCTCGTAAAAGGGAAAATATTTTATTACGGAAGAATAGTCATTATAAAGGCCCAAAGTATGGTAGGTCGATTACAAAGCAATAAGAAGACAATAAAAAGCTAAGGGCCTTCGGGGGGAGTAGAGGAGGTCGCTTCCTTAGTAGGTTCTGGACCGGCCACTAGGTTCACATGTTTCATGGTCGTGGACTAAGCTGGATCCCACTAAGGATGATTGCGGAGCTCCTGAGGGTTTTTCTCCCAACCATTAGGGTTTTGGAAGACCCTGTCATATCTAATCCTCGCTAAAGTACCACAGTAGCCACCGACGACAGCATGAGCCTCGATTTTTTCGATGCCAATGTCGAAGTACTGCTTGGCCGTTGACACCAGCCAGTTCAAGAACTCTATTGAGTTTCCAAATCATGTGAGGAGCTCCAGTTGGTAATGCTCCAAGAAGCCCATCCCAAGATCGAAGGTCATAAAGGAATCAAGGCCCTTAACTCGAGCCTTGGCCTTGCACTTGACCATGGAGGCAAATAGTTGGGCTAGTTGGGCTTCTAGCTGGGAGGCCTTGGCAGCCTCGGACCGCAGACTTTTGATCTATTCCTTCACAGACGAGTACACCCTGTTGAGCTTAGCGATCTTTGCTCTAGCATCGCCCAACTTGGTGCGCAGAATGGTAAGACAATTGTTGCGGGCATGAATTTTCACCTCTAGCCGGCCACTTCAGTGGCATCATTCTAGCCAGTCAGTTCGTCGTTTAATAGTGGAGCCAGGCCTGATAGAGCTTGTCAAGTAAAAAAACTACATAAATAAGTTAAGAGATGAGAGGTCTCTGTTAAGAAAAAGAAAAGGAAAGTTGAGCTTGGTACGTGGATGGTATGTTTGAGCACATAGACTGCCCGAGAAGCCCGTTTACCAGCCGAACGACCAGTCTTCCCGTGATAGAATATAGATAATAAATACTCCGACTGGGTTCTCACGTTCTTGGAGGTCACGAACCTTGCCGTCTCTCCAAACCAGAAGCTATGGCTACTCCTGTCTGGGTGGTCTCTTGAGGCGGGCTCTTAGTCCTTTGCTTCTTTTCTGACTAGAGTTCTTTTTGAAGACTCGACTAGTTGAGACTTAACTTTCTCTGGAGTTTTTTAGGCAAGAGGAATAGTTGGTTGCTCCACAACGTTGGCCTCAGTCAAGACCGCGTCGCTTATGTTGTTTGCTCGAGGAGGACGAGCCCGTGTGAAAGGAGGCAATAAGAGAGGCTACAAAATATATATAAAAAAAAATAAAAAAAGAGGGGAGAGTTCACAACAAATAAGTTTAGGAAAGAGAAAAAAAAAGATACAGTAAGGACCCTAAAGGAAAAAGAACTACCTAACTACGATATAGGCCGACAGTGTAGTAAGAACAAGCCACAGTGCGACCCCAATAGAAGATCATTGGTCAAGCGAAGGAGCTCGTAGGGGTTCTCATTCAATGAGGTGATAAGGCCCTTATTTTAGTTATCTAGTTTTGGCGCCTTGAGCTGGTCAGTTTTTTTGGAGACCCATGAAGGGGGAAAGTCAAAAGTGTTTGACGGAAGCCAAACGACTCGATCTCCAGTTTGGGACTTTTCAAGCAGGGCCAACCAGAAAGTGAGCATTGTTTCTACGTGAGAGGTAGAAGGACCTATTTAAGGATTTGAGCCAGTGGCTATAATGAAAGAACTTTGGGTCAATGGTATGGAGAAGGCCGACTAAGGATATAAAATCTGATAATGAATCAAATGGAATTGAGGGTGAAGGTACTCGATTGAGTTGAGCTAGCCATTAGGGTTCTCTTTAGAGGAAAAGTGAGACCAACATCTATCTGTTCCACAAAAAAGGTATAAAAGCCCTCAGGGGGCTGAGTTGATGATTCTCCGACTCTGGGAGCTCGGAGTTCCCAAGAAGGAGGAAGCTTGCATTTGTGCTTGAGGATTGCAAGTTGGGTGTGGTCTAGGAGGTTAAGAGGTTCGGTTTAGCGACCCAGAGGTGTTATTTGAGGATTCAGAAAGTTGTCAACTAAGGTATTTAGCCGAGCTTGAGAAGAAGAGGTCGAGGAGCTAGTCTTATGGGTTGGCGACATGAAAGAAAGAAGGAAGATAAAGAGAAGTAAGACAGATTAATTTCATGAAAAGCCCGAGACAAAAATAAATAAAAAGTGATGACAAGAAGATTAGAACATACCTGTAAGTCAGTGAGAATTGTGGATGAAAGAAGTCGGAAGGTTCGCCCATTAGGTCATTAGTCATGTACATTGTAGGTATGGACTAGTAGCACATTAGGTATCTCTTCTTTCTTGCTCTCTCTTCTCTTCTCTCTTGTTATCTCTCCGTTCTCTCCTAGTGCTTTCTTTCTTTCTCTATTTTAAATATCGACAATCTATGTTACAACAAAACCGAGATGATTACCATCTAATATTATTTTCACCAGAATACTGATTCATCCTGTCTCACAGGTAAAATAAAGTTAAAATGAAAAATACCGACCAATAAATTGGGAAATAGTGGATTTTCTTTATCATTTTTCTATTAATATTTTTACCTAAAGTCGTAGTTCTAAATTTAATGTTTATGTGTTTGTGTTCTTTGTTTGGTTTTTAGGGGCTTGATTGTTTACAAATTATTTTACTCACTTTTTATTTCAACTCAAAATTTAACTCAACTTTAACTCAACCCCACTATCTTTAATATTATTCATATAATTAAATAATACAAATAAATCATTTTTACACATCACATCAATTTTAATTCACTATTCATCCACTCACATAATTTTAACTCATTATTTTCAATCATTTCTAATCATTTATCTCTTACTTTTACATCAAATCAATTTTAATCATTGTATTTTAAATATTATTAATACATTATTAAAATTCCACTAACAACTAATCATACACCTATTTTTAATTTATAGTTAACAAAAACAACTCATTTTGAACAAATTATTCCATAAATAATCAAACTCTAACCAGTTTTATAATTATTAATATGGTTTTCTATATAATAATATATTTAATTGATATTTATCAAAATTAGTAAAATAAGAAGAAAAATCGATTCAACCAATTGAACCACAATAATTGTTACTACGATACTCAAAACACTAAGGCTATGTTTGGTAAAACTAACTGATAAGCTAGCTTATAGCGTATATGTAATTTTTGAGCTTATAGCTTATAGCTTATGACTTATAGCTGAAAAGCTAACTTATATGATAAAAAAAGGTGTTTGGTAAATTAGCTGATAAGCTAGCTGAAATAAAAAATTCAACTAGCTTATTTGAAAAGCTACCTAAAGTAGCTTATGAAATAAGCTCGAGCTTTTTAAAAAATCTCGTCCTACCAAACGAGTCTTATTTTAAACAGAGAGCTTATAAGCTAACCAAATAACCTAAAAGCTAGCTTATTTAACTTACCAAACATACCAAAGTCGGACTAATTAATATGCCCCTCTCAAATGGCAATAAAAATTAATATTTTATGTTCAAACAAGAAATAAAAGACGGGCCAGTAGCACATTGTAATTGTAATAAAACAACACAAAGTGACATCGAGGTCCTATCCACAAGTATATATATGCTTATATCTTTATTATACTTTTGTTGATACATGGCCATGAAATTTACGTGATATCAATCGTCTCTCAGTTTTATTCAAATGCACTGTCGTCATGTCAATATGTGTACACATATCTAAAATTGCAACTAGCCGCCCCCTTTTATCAATTGCTTTGCTTAGAATTAGATAGACATGGTCAACGGTCGAACCACCGGCTCGGTAAAGCCGGTTCTTAAACCGGCCAAAACCCCTTAAGGGCCAAGTCAGAATCATGTTTTATTCTTTTTTGACTTGTTGGGCCGGGCCAGGTCTTCCCATAAGTCGTAGTTGTTTTATATTATTTTTTATTTTAATCCAAATATAAAAATCGACGGTTCAACGAACCTCTGAATTGAACCGGCCAGTATTAGACATGGCAAGCCAATGGGCCTCCCATGAGTGACACTTAACTGGTCCGCCAAACACCAAAGGCCGGGTCCGTCGTACCGGCCTGTCCCGGACCGTCGGGACCAAAAAAAAAAAAAAGGACCCGGAAACGACTCATAAAGCTACGGTGTTGGTTCTCGGAACCGGAAACTTACGGGACCGGGCCGGGACGGTTCGAGACCGAGAAAAGTCGGGATCGGGACGACAGGCCGGGCCGGCCCGTGACCATGTCTAGCCAATAGATGTAGCCGGGTTCATAAAAAAAAAATGTAATTATGTATTTATACAATTTACAATAATGGTGATTGTCTATTCGTATCAAAGGTTCGTATCCTAATTAAGGAAAATAAAATTCACTAGGATATTGCGGTAACTAAAATCATAGGCCACTCTAATTTGATTTTTTTTTTTAATAGTAGAATTAATGACAATGAACATGCAGGC